TGTTGTATAGTGTGTACTGTGTGTTGTATAGTGTGTACTGTGTGTTGTATAGTGTGTACTGTACACTGTGTAGTATATACTGTATACTGTGTAGTGTACACTGTATACTGTGTAGTGTATATAGTATATACTGAATAGTATATACTGTATACGGTAGAGTTGTTGGCCTGGTGGTCCACAAGCTTCTGGGAATTCTGGTCACAGCTCCCAAGTCACTGTCAGAGTGCTGGGGTTACAAGCGTACCCATCTTGTCTTGCTTTACGTGTGCCTGCAGAGCCAAATTCAGTTCTTCACACTTGCACGGTAGGTGCTTTCACCACTAGCTGTCTCCCCAGCCCAAGTTCCATTTTTAATAGACTAAAAGATGTATTTTGGACAAAAATACATAAAACAAACAAAAATGGTACACCTCAGAAAAACAAAACTGAATGGACAGTGAAACAGGAAGAACACCTGATGCTTTTGCCCATTGTAGTTTTTATTTTATTGTTATTGTTTAGACAAGGTCTTGCTATGCAGCGCTGACTGACTTGGAACTCATCATGTAGTCCAGGCTGGTCTTGAACTCATGTGAGATTCATGTGCCTCTATTTCCTGAGTCCTGGGATCACAGTTATGAGCCTCCATGCATGGCCTTCCTTGTAGTTTTCATTGTGGGTGGCAAAACATCGCCCTTCTCCCAGGGCGGCATGAGCATTAGACACAGAAGCAATGCTCCGTATTTTTGGGCCAACCAGAGAGGAAGTATTTACCTTAGGCTTTTTGGTCTAACCTTGTAATCAGCTGAGAGTTGCTCTGTGTGGCTGAGAGAACTCAGGCTGTGTCTAAGACAGAAAGGAGTCAGCACTGGCCGTCAGCTTTTCGGGTTTACCTTTGAGTTGTGAAGTCAGGAAGGAGTGAACTGTTTTGCCCTCTGGTCACCTGTTAGTCTTGTTAGCTCTGGGCTAAGGAGCTGCTGGCTATTTTACAGTTATCACTAGATCAGCTCTTGCTCGCTGTGAAGCCTTAGAGCTGGTTTGACCTTTAACCTGCGATGGATCCCAGGTAGCTTGTGGGGTTTTATCATTCATTCACAGGCCGGCGCTGGTTCATTTTTAACCCACAGCGGAAAGGTCAGCCAGCAGCTTAAAGATTTTACATTCTAGTGCTTGAAATCTGCCTCCCAGGAGGGAGAGATAGGTCAGCAACTCTTGCGGAGGTCCAGAGTTTGATTCCGGAACTCACAGAGTGGCTGCTCCTAGTGACCTGTAACTCCAGCCTCATGGGGACTCCAAGTCATCT